AGAGGAAGGGAGAGGGATAGAGTTTAGAAACATGGATCAGCTGGGGATGTGCCCTTGACCGGAATCGAACCTGGGACCCTTCAGTCCACAGGCTGACGCTCTATCCACTGAGCCAAACTGGTCAGGGCTTTGATAAACCCTTTAATTTTCGCTAATTTCTTGGTCCTTTACTGTTCATGTGCATGACGTGCTCCACCGCTTACATTGCCTAATCCTCTTTAAGTGTTGGTTTTTGAAGCGTAATGAGAAGCCTATGATGATTGAAGAAATTGTGAACTTTTGGTGTTTGCACCTTCCAACAACAAAGCTTCTAGCTTTCCATAGTAATTCTCTTCTGAAATGTTTGTTGTTTCATTAACCTTTTAGGTCCGTTATAACACTACCCGAAAACCTCCTTATGCTCTCTTTTCCTCCATTATTTTTTATAAACATATTTTTATTGATTTCAGAGAGGAAGGGAGAAGGAGCAACAGACAGAAATATCAGTGATGGAGAGAATCATTGATCGGCTGCCTCCTGCACGCCCCCCACTGGGGATGGAGCCGCAACCCCAGCCTGTGCCCTGACCAGGAATGGAACCATGACCTCCTGGTTCATAGTTCATGCTTAACCACTGAGCCACACCGTCAGGGCTCCTCCACTATTTTTCGTATTCAGGGGATATTAGCACACAAATTGGTACATTATTGGACCAAAATGTTTTATTATGCTTTCTGCACAGCCACAGTATTTGTTCAGTACATCTGGAATCAAGCAAGAGAATTTATGCCTGTGATATATTAGTGCAAAGTGGTATAAGTATGTCTATTAAAGGACTCAGCCCTGTCTACGTACATCACTTTTTCGAAGTGATGGGAGCAGCGGTATTCACAACGCCCCTATGGTGATGTCCCTGGGGAATTCTCCCCCTCCTTTAAGTTTGTTAGCAAAGTTGAGGTTGATGACATCCCATCTAAGCACCTCTTGCATTCCCAGCAGTCCAGAGACCTGGAGCATGAAGTGGGAACATAGGGGCGAGAGAGCCCATGCAGTGCTCTCTGCAGCTTTGGCTTTTGTACCTATGGAGGATTTTTTTCTGTGACACCTCAAAAAGAAATGCAATGCTTGGTTGCCCACAAGGACATCCCCTAGTGCCTAACTAATCTCGTGGTCCTAAAGGAAAAGTCAGCTGTGATAAGGAAAAAAAAGGTGGGAAAACAAACGGAGAGGCAAGTCATTTGTTTGAGATGGAAATATTAGTGGCAGAGCTATGTCTTCATTCCACACCTTTATGTTGAAAGTGTTACATATGTCCCCTTTTACCCCCCATTGACACCCCTGCCTCCTGCCCCAGGCCTCCCCACCCTATTGTCTGTGTCCTTGGGTTAAGCATATATGCAGAGAAGTTCTTTGGTTGATCTTTTCCCACCTCTCCCAACCCCTCATCCTTGCCCACCATCCCTCTGAGATTTGACATGCTTCTATAGCTCTAGATCTATTTTGTTCAATAGTTTATGTTGTTCATTAGGTTCCAATATGAGTGAGATCATGTGATACTTGTCTTTCTCTGGCTGCCTTATTTCACTTAGCACGATACTCTGCAGGTCCCTCCATGCTTTCTCAAAGGGTAACAGCCTTCTTTTTTACTGCTGCATAGTATTCCATGGAGTAAGTGTACTATAGCTTTTTTATCCACTCATGTACTGATGGGCACTTGGGCTGTTTCTAGATCTTAGCTATTGTAAATTGTGCTGCTATGAACAGAGGGGTGCGTACATTCTTTCTGATTGGTGTTTCAGGTTTCTTAGGATATATTCCTAGAGGTGGGATCACTAGGTCAAACGGCAGTTCCATATTTAATTTTTTGAGAAAACTCCATACTGTTTTCTATAATGGCTACACCAGTCTGCATCCCCAGCAGCAGTGTACTAAGGGTCCCCTGTTCTCCACATCCTTTCCAGCATTTGTCATTTGTTGATTTGTTGATCGTAACCATTCTGACAGGTGTGAGGTGATACCTCAATGTAGTTTTAATTTGCATCTCTCTGGTGATCAGTGACTGAGCATTTTTTCATATGTCTCTTGGCCATCTGTATGTCGGCTTTGGAAAAGTGTCGATTTAGGTCCTCTGCCCAGTTTTTAATTGAATTGTTTGTCTTCCTTTTGTTAAGTTGTATGAATTTCTTATATATTTTTTTCTTCAGTTTTTTATTTCAAGAAAAATGATTTTAAATATAATGTTACATGCAATAAACAGTATCTCAAGAAAAACTATTTTAAATTATATTTTGGATATTAACTATCAGATGTATCATTGCCAATATGTTCTCCCATACAGTGGGCTCTATTTTCATTTTGTTGATGATTTCTTTTGCTGTACAGAAGCTTTTTATTTTGATGTAGTCTCATCTGTTTATTTTCTCCTTAGTTTCCTTTGCCCTGGGAGATGTATTTGTAATCATATATTGCACTTTTAAATACCTTTAATTACTTCTTATCTTTTTTTCTAGCTGAATTACGCAGTATGACAAATTGTCAGTCTAACCAGCCAAGGTAAGAAAAAAATCCTGTTAATTAGATTGAGGAGGTAGATTTCTTAAAATAATAATGTAGCATAGTAAAGGGTACTTGAAACAAAGGGTACTTGTTTGAGAATTAGGCTGGGTCCTTGGCTACCTGGAAATCTGGAAGAAATCACATCTTCCCACCCACTGCCCTCTCACCTTCCAGGCTAAACATTGGGATCAATATCTCCCATTTTGTTATAGCTTCTAAGAGGGAAACTAGAGACAAGCAATGCTTGGAGCTCCTTGGAATCAACTCCTTTTGAGTTGATTTCAAGTAAAGGCTTATGAAGATGACTGTCCTGAGGCAAATCAGTAAAGGGAGTGGGTCATGTGGGACTCACAAAAGAGGTCAATGTAAAAGGGGTAAATCTTGGGCTTGGTTGGGGAACCTCTCAGTATAGAAGCAGTAGAGGCCATGTGAGCCTCAGATCCATGTGAGCCTGGATGCACCTGATCCATTTTCTTCAGTAAACTCAGCTGCTACATGTTTTGTCTTTAGTAATGAAGGTGATGCCATCAAAGTTTTTGTGCGAATTCGTCCACCTACAGAGGGTTCTGGATCAGCTGATGGAGAGCAAAACTTGTGCTTAAGTGTGCTCTCCCCTACGACTCTCCGGCTGCACTCCAACCCGGAGCCCAAGACCTTCACTTTTGATCATGTTGCCGGCATGGACACCACTCAGGTAATGAACATTTTTGGAAATGTAACTTTCCTTTTGTAAAATATAAGATTCTGTTATTTGTGAGGATTTTGTTTCTGGTCTATTTAGTTTGATAGACCTCAGATAAAGAAGCTCAGACAGTCCATAAATATTTTAAATTTAATTTTATTAAATACTTTTTCTTCCTTCATTAAACTTTGTGTCAGAATGGCAAGCCCGCTTCACTGTTTCTCTCTATCCAGTGAAGGTGTACTTTTCAGAGCCTGTTGGGTGATTGATAAGTACTGTTGATCTGTCTAATTTAAGGAGAGGTCTTAGCCAGCCCTGGCAGCTTTAACAAAAATATAGACTAGGTGGCCTAAACAAAAAGTATTGGTTTTTAACAGTTGCTGGAGGTTGGGAAGTCCAAGATATCAAGGGCAAGAGATCCAGTGTCTGGTGAGGACTCCCTTCCTGGCTTGTAGATACCTGCCTTCCCACTGTCCTCACTGGTGGAGAGATGGAGGGGCAGGGGAGAGTAAAGGGGAGAGAGAGACCTAATTACCTCTCAAAGGCCCATCTCCATCACATTGGGGATTAGGGTTTCAACATATGCATTTTTAAATTGATTTTAAAGAGAAGGATGGGGGGTGGGGGCAAGGGGGAGAACATTGATGGGAAAAAGAAACGTCGATCAGTTTGCCTCCTGGATGCACCTGACCCAAGATTGAACCTGCAGCCTACATATGTGCCCTGACCAGTGTACAGGATGATGCTCCAACCAACTGAGCTGCATCAGCCAGGACTAAGCACACAACCTTTGTTGTTATATTTTAGAATGCAGCTTAAGAAAAAGGTTTTTATTTTTATGAAATGTTAACATATTTGGTGCTTACATTTGTAGGAGTCTGTGTTCTCAACTGTGGCCAAAGGCATTGTGGAATCTTGCATGAGCGGGTATAATGGCACCATCTTTGCATAGTAAGTTGCTCACTATTGTGTATAAGGATACAAGGGTACAATAACAAGTGTTTCTGTTCATTCCTATGGCTGATGTAACAAATTACCACTAACTTAGTGGTGAAACAACACAAATGTATTATCTCACAGCTCTGTATGTCAGAAGTCTAGCACAGCTTCACTGAGCTAAAATAAAGGTGGCCGCAGGGCTGTGTTCCTTTCTGGAAGCTCCAGGGGAGAATCCATATTCTTCACTTTACAGGCCACTCACATTACTTGGCTTACAGCTCCCTTTTTCTATCTTCAAAACCAACAACATGCAACCCCGTCTCTTCCTTAGTCACACCACCCTCTAACTAAAGATGAGAAGTTCTCTAAT